AGGAAGGAAGGAAGGAAGGAAGGAAGGAAGGAAGGAAGGAAGGAAGGGCCACTCACTCCACCCAGGATCTCATTGTTCACACATTGTTCACCCCTCATCAGTGCTGCTTGCACTTGGCTTTCAGATGATGAGTTTCTCACAGAACCCCTTCCCTTCCCGAAGCCGATTTGATGTCAGTGGATCTGTTGGTGGGCTCCGTCTGAGCAGCCCCAGTGGCCATTCCATCCCTGTGAAGAACCTGTCGCAGAATATCGAGGTAGGCACCCCATTGTTAGCAGTAGTCCTGGCACCTGGCCTTCTCTTCAGCTTGTTTGGGCCAGCTGTGAAAACAACGGTTAAAGAGAGGAACCACCAAGTGTGCCCCTTCACTATTAAACACCGTACTCAACTTACAACCATGCAAAAATGACATTCACACACCTCTGCTGTATGACAGGCTTTCCTGGGGGTGTCACTCTGTTGAGTGGAATCCTAACCATTGCACAAACCAAATGTTCGTTTTAAAGGCTCCTAACGCAGCCTCCAAATGCTTTAAACTCCAAATGGTGTTCTTGAAAGGCAAGCAAGAATGCTAACATGCCAAGGTGCCGTGGGTATCTAAATGCTTTTAAGAGCTTACTGACTTTTTTCTAGTTGTCTGCCGTTTCCTCTCAGTGAGCGATTAACAGTTTGCAGGGAAGCCTCCATCGTCGCCCATTGTAATTGTGAATGTGCCACCAGGGATTGGCAGAAAAGTACAGTTAAGGACCTGAAGATGGCCTGTTGGGCCTAGATTATCTAGGGGTCCAGTGGGGTCACATTGGGACTGACTCAGAAAAGGAAAGGCGAGACATTGACTGTTGTTGATGACACAGGAAGAGGTTAGGGTGATGGGACTAGATGTAGAACTGGGAGTATGGAAAAAAAAATCCTCCACCCCCTACACCTTCAGCAGAGATCTTCCTGTTCATACCAGCCCCATGATACCACAGGGCTTTCGATGCATTCCCAGCCCCCTGGCTGGAATTCTTTGTTTCTGAAAACAGATCCTGCTGCCCCGGATTTCAGAACACAAGCCAACAATGCTGAGCTTGGCCACCCCGGAAGCTCTGTGGATAAATGTGACTACAGGGGATGCAGCTCTGGGGATCCAGCTACACTGGGGATCTGGAGTCTCACTCACACTCAGGCTGGGCTATGGCTACCACCCCAATGAGACCAGCTATGATGCCCAAACACACCTGCTTCCTATGGCTACAGGTACTCAGCTTTCTTTTTTCCATTGTATGGTTTTGGCTTCTTTTTCAAAATCCAAGTGTCCGTAGTTGTGTGGATTTTATTTCTGGGTCTTTGATTCTATTCCATTGATCAACCTGTCTGTTTTTATGCTAATACCATGTTTGTTTTTTTTTTTTAATCACTTTTGCTCTGAGTACAGCTTGAAATCAGGGATGGTGATACCTCCAGAAGTTCTTTTATTGTACAGGATTGTTTTAGCTATCCTAGGTTTTTAATTTTCTATATGAAGTTGAGAATTGCTCTTTCAATGTCTGTAAAGAATTGTCTTGGTAATTTGATGGGAATTACATTGAATCTGTAGACTGATTTTGGCAGGATGGCCATTTTACCATATTAATCCTACTCATCCATGAGCATGGGAGATCTTTTTATCTTCTACTATCTTCTTCAATTTTTTTTTCTTCAAAGACTTGAAATTCTTTTCATACAGGTCTTTCACTTGCTCAGTTAGAGTTACATCAAGATGTTTTATATTATTTGTGGCTATTATGAAAGGTGTTGTTTTCCTAATTTCTTTCTCAGCCCAATTATTGCTCATATAGGAGGGCTACTGACTTTTCTTTTTCTTCTTCTTCTTCTTCTTCTTCTTTTTCTTCTTCTTCTTCTTCTTCTTCTTCTTCTTCTTCTTCTTCTTCTTCTTCTTCTTCTTCTTCTTCTTCTTTTTAGTTAATTGCGTATCCAGCCACTTTGTTGGATATGTAGGAGTCTTCACACTTTTTATCAGCTGTAGGAGTTCTCTGTGGCCAGCTTTCAAATTAAGGTGTCAAAAAAAAATAGAAAAAAAATAAAACTATCAAAGAACAAGGCCAGGGAGATGGCTCAGTAGTTAAAGTATGAGGACCAGCGTTCTAGCCTCAGAAACCACACAAAGAACTTGGTGTGTCATAGCCTAAACCTGTGATCCCAGTCCTGGGTATGGAGCTCATGGGCTGCCAGCCTGGCTGAGTCTGTGGGTCTGCAGGTTTTACTGAAAGACCTTGCCTCAAACAAAAACCAACCAAACAAAACCAAACAAGCAAACAGCAACAAAGAAACCTGGAGCTGGAGAGACAACTGAAGAGAGCGCACACTGCCTCAGGTTCAGTTCCTGTCAGACATGCTGGGTGGCTCACAATCCCCCTGTAACTCCAGCTCCAGGGGGATCCATGCCTCTGGCCTCTTGGGCACCCATACTCATATTCCCTCCCCCTCACCAAGAGCACATGATTGAAAATAATAAAAATGATAAACATAGTAAGTTTAATGCCAGCCTGGGCTATATAATAATTCTGCCTCAAAACTACACACAACAAATAAAACTTAACATGGATGTTCAATAGACAGTCTAAAAAAAATAGACAGTCTGATATCACGTAGCCAATAAGGCCCTTCATGTCCTGCCATGCCCCTGCACACTGAGCCAGGGTACTTGGGATACCAGGTAACAGGTTTACATGCCTGCCATATTGCCTTGTTTCCCACAGGTGAGGACCCCACGTGGATCCTGGGCCCACAGGACCTGCCCTTTGGAGAAGGAATCTACTATTTGAGGGTGTTCCCCGAGGATGACCTGGAGTCTACCTCTGGCAGGAACCTCACAGTTGGCATTACCACCTTCCTGTCACATTGTGTATTTTGGGATGAAACCCAGGAGACCTGGGACAACTCTGGATGCCGGGTAAGGAAGAATAAGCTGGGGAGACTTGGTGGGCGTGTCTGCTCTCGTAGAGTCCCCTTGGACCTCCAGTGCAATGTCTCATGTCTCTCGGGGTGCCCAGCCTATGCCATTCTCGATCTCAGAGTGTCTTTCTTGCTCTCAACTGAAACCGTTTTTTCCTTGAGAAGACGTCAGGGCCTTGACTAGGTCATATTTTCTGCTGTAAACTCTGGTGCACTCTCCCTGCCTCACCCCGCTTTGTAGTGTGGTCCTCAACCTCTCCCCTGAGGCCATCTTGGGAGCTAGGAGTGCAGGAACACCTGATCACTGACTAAGAAGAGGAGGGATTCAGAAGGCTGCCACCCTGTGTGTGTGTGTGTGTGTGTCTGTGTGTGTGTGTGTGTGTAGGGGGTGGGGTATGGATGGGGCAGTGGGGGTATGGCCAGCCAGGGTGCCACTTCTCAGAAAATGACCTCAGCCTTGTCCTGTGTTCACCTTTACCAGCACCATCTCCTCGGTGCTTCAGACAGCCCTAGTAGAGCAGTTGTTCCCTTTTCACAGGCAGTGAGACAATGGATCAGGAAACTTGATGGACCTGCCCCTAAATCCCACACATAGCATGTGGATGGAGGACCTGTGCCGCAGAGCCAGGTTTTCCCATAGCCGTATCATCACCATGACAACACAGCCTTCCCAACTGTTGAGATTCAGAATGGCAATATTAATTGTGTTCACATTTTTATACACTCTGCTTTATGGAATTGAGGCCTGCATATCAGTGTCCTACAGGGAGACTTTGGCTTTGAGGCCATCAGATAGGACCAGATTATCCCAATCATGGGTTATATAGGCTATGCCTTCCTTTAAATGCTCTTCTTTTTTATTCTACTGAGAAAGCTCCAATATTCCCCACCCCTGAACCTCCTGGTCTCCTACACCAGAGCCCTCTTCCTGGGGGCCCTTCTAGCTACCTTCATCATCCCATGCCATACCACGACCAGCTGCCTCCATGTAGAATCCAAATTTATTCCTCACCTCCCTCCAACTATGGACATAGCATCTTCTTTCATTTGTTGACCAAATGTTCACCCTGTCCCCGTGGTGGGGGTAGACAGACTGGTGAGAAAAGCCAGTGAATAAGAAGCCCAGCTAAGGACAGAGACCAGGAGCAAATGACACATCTAAGGGCCATGCCATCCTAGAGCTGTGGGAGGAGAGCACTGAAGGTGAGCTGCTCCTGGGCTGTACAGCTTCCTTGTCAATTCCCACCCTGGCTTCTGGCTGCCACACTCAAGGCGCAGGAAGCAGGGTGGTACAAAGACATTCCTAAGAGACAGAAGGTCCGAATGCTCCAGCCACCAGCCTTTGCATCGCAGGAACAGACCTGGGCAGGCGGTGGTATCCCGGAGCACCCACTCCCCAAAGCCACCTTCTATGGCTGACATGGGATTCCCCTGCCCCCCACCCCCAACCCTGGAATCTGCCTCCAAACAGAGGTTTAGTTCCTATACATGCTGCATGTACTTGGGCAAGTTGTCCCACCATGGTAAAGCCCACGGTCTCTGGGCTTCACCTTCCTAAAATGGGGTTAAAGTGGAGTGGAGCTCAGGGGTACAAGGAACTTCGCACGATGCTGAACTCAGAGTGGGCATCTCTCCGAGTGTCAGAGGGGATCCATGTGTTAAACCCTCTGGCTGCTGAGGGAACATCATTGCCTGTAACATGAAAGCCAAGGACCAAGGATGGGGGGGTGGCAGGGATATGGCTTGAGATCCAATTAGCCACACCTAAGGTTCTGAGTACAGCAGTGAGGTCCCATTTAAAACATGAGCGATGGTCCGGTGGAGACGTGCTAGGTTTGTAAGCACGGGTCTAGGTCCCCAGAACCCATGTGAAAGTGTCAGGCATGAAATCAGTGTGGACAGGCAGAGTCAAGCACCTCCCTCAGGCTCCCTGACCAGTTAGCCTAAACGGTAAGCTCCAGGCCAACGAAAGGCGTCAGGGGAGGCGGGCAGCTTCCCTGAGGATGACACCGGAGGTTGTACTCTAGCTTCCACATTCATGTATATGTATGTACACAAGGGTACACTCACCCGTATACACACATACAAACACAAAAATATACACCAAAGCCTCCACACGGGTACACACATATACACACAAACACACAAATATATACAACATACATGTGTACACTCACCTGTGCACACACATACACACACACACACTTCAGAAACTACAGGGGCTGGTGAGACAGCTCAGTGGGTCAAGAAGCGTGCCATACTAGAGCGATGACTTGAGTTTGATCCCTGAACACACACAACAGTAGGAGAAAACCAATCCCACAAAACTGTCACATGCCTGTGGACTGTCCACTCCCCCAACACACAATATTTTTAAAGTTTTTAAAAATGTATTTACTCTATGTGCGCATACACATACCATCGCATTTATGTGGAGGTCAGAAGTTAACATGTGGGGGGGGGGGAGTTGGTCCTCTCCTCCTACTGCATGGGCTCCAGGGATTAAACTCAGATGACCAGACATGACAGCAAATGAGCCATCTCACCCTACGCAAGTAGATATATTAAAAAACAAACATAAAATGTCTCCTTGGCTAGGAATACTTGCCTAGCGTGCAGGAGGTCTTAGGTTCAGTCACCAGCACCCCCAGCCCACCTCATGCTGGGAAAGGGTGGAAGAGCCTCAGGGTCTGTGTGAAGCCTGGAAGGCAAAGCCTGAGCGCAAACAGAGGTGGCTCCCTGCTCTGTTCCCTCCTCTGAAAGCAGCCTCACCCCTTCCGGTGTACGAGGTGTTCCCACACCACCCAACCCCCCCTGGGAAACAGTACAAACAACTCAGAGGGAACGGAAGGAAGACCTACCTGGAATTCAGAATGAGCAGCTGCCGTCCGGCCTGTTCGTGGGATGAGCCTTGATGGGCGCCTCATTCAACAGAAGGAGGGGTTCATAACTGGGTGGCAGGAGGCTCTTCCTCCCCAGGTGCTCGAGTGAAGAACTTTCCAGAAGCCACTCTTTTCTGTCTGTCTTCACCATGTGGAATAAAAGGCAGAGCTGGGCTCTGGAGCTGATTCAAAGCTGCTTCACTTCCCAAACGGTCCTGGGGATATAAAGTGGAAGAGCCTCATGGGTGAGGTGCCTGCCGTGGCCTCCCTGACCTCTCCTGAACCCAACGGCTCTCCAGCAAAGCCCATCCACACCTTGCTGGAACTGAGATCCAGTCTAAGGGGTTAATGTTTGTCTTTCCCACTTCCAGACTGGTGGCTTCACGTCAGCATAAGTCAATCCAGTTGACTGAGGCTGAGAATTCCTGGGGTTTAGGACATTCATCCTGAAAAGCAGGGAGTCCTGGAAAACATGAGTTAGCCACTAGATGTTTTCAGACTGGCCAGTTGCTGGGCAATCATCAGTACCCAGCACATGCTCCTCCAGTGAGTGAGCTGTCAGTGGACGAAGGCCAGGAGGGCTGTGGTACCATGTTTGTGGCACAGGGTGCCACTGAGGGTGGTGATGATGGAAATTCCAAATTCACCCACAGTGCTTCTTTGAAACAGGCAAAGGGTCCTGCGAACTGTTCAGAGCTCCCACTGTGAAGGACAGATGTGAAACTGTTAAACATAATATTCACAAGCCCGGTGTGGTACTGCACACCTGTAATCCCAGCACCTGGCAGGCAGATCTCTGTGAGTTCAAGACCAGCCCAGTCTACATAGCAAGTTCCAGGACAGCTGGGGCTGCATAGTGACATCCTGTCTCAAGAAAACAAAATAGAACAAACAACAACAACAACAACAACAAAAAAAAAACACACAAAAGACAAACAAAGAACAAAACCCTACTGGAAAGGTCCAGGGTCTGATCCCCAGCACAACAAAAGCAAATAACGGTCTCTGAATTTTAAAGTGAGTTTTCATTTTTGTTTTTATTTGTGTGTGTGAGTGTGTGTGTGTGTGTGTGTGTGTGTGTGTGCATTTTTGAAGGTGGGTGAGCGCACATGTGTGCATGTGTATATAAAGGCCAGATGTTGGTATTTGAAATCACCCTGCATTTCCCCACCTCATTGATGGTGTCTCCACCAAACCCAGAGCTCACTGATATGGCTACTCTCAGTCACCCTGTGGATCTCGTCCTCCACCCTCTGAGGATGGCATTATCAGTGGGTTAACTGTCTGTCTTTATACTTCCAGCTGGCTTCCAGGACCCCAGACTCTGATCCTCGCTGCTTTCACAGACAAGCCAAGCTCGGTACCCAGTGCTCACATCAGCTGGCTCACAAACACTTATAACTCCAGCTCCAGTGGGATTTGATGCCTCTGGCCTAGACAGCCAGTCAGCCAGAGTCTGCTAGCCCCAGCTAACCTTGAATATGTAGCAGGGGATGACCTTGAATTGCCAATCCTCCTACCTGCACCTTTTTTTTACTGAGATTACAGGCATGCCTCACCATAGGCAGTTCATGTGATATTGATCCAACCCAGGGCTTCGTGAATGCTAAGCAAGCTCTCTACCAACTAAGTTACATTCCCAGCCATATAGATATAATTTTGATCCTAGGTTGGCTGAATCTATGGATCCAAAAGGCTGATTGTGTGGCATCCACCACACTGAGGTGTTGGCCATCTTTCTTCACTGGGCTGAAGCAGGTGCGTTTCCAAACATGGTGTCTTTGGGGTTCGCAGGTGGGCCCACGGACCACCACCTTCCGAACGCACTGCCTTTGCGACCACCTCACCTTCTTCGGAAGCACGTTCCTGGTGATGCCCAATGCGGTCGATGTCCAGCAGGCCGCTGAGCTCTTTGCCACCTTCGAGGACAACCCTGTGGTGGTTACCACGGTGGGCTGCCTCTGCGTGGTCTACGTGCTGGTAGTGATCTGGGCCCGGAGAAAGGACATACAGGATCAGGCTAAGGTGAGGTGCTGGGTTCCTGGGAGTGGGAGGGGCAGGGGCTGTAGAGAAGCCAAATGTTAGTTCAGGCCTCAACCCCTGCAGTTATCTCTGGCAAGCTGGTCCCCCAGCCTGTGCATTTATGAAACATCCCTTCTCATCAAATTATCACAGTTACTGTGCCAGCCATCATCAGCTGAGCACTCACTGCATGAGGGCACTACTCAATTTACATCCACAGCAGCCCTGGGAGGAAGGCACCTGTGCTGGGGTGGGAGGTCAAAGGCCACCGTGGTCAGTGATTTACTCAAAGGACTCAGAGTTCAGAACAGCAGTGGAAGTAATAACGGTGACGGTTTACTTTTTTTTTTTTTTGTAAGTACAGGTGTTTTGTGAACCGATGTGTGTAGGTGTCTATTTGATGTGTGCACACGTATAGATCATGTGTCATTCCTTAGAAACCATCCCCCCTGGCGTTTAATGCAGAGTCTTTCACTGGGACCTGGGCTTTTACCAAACAGGCTAAACTGACAGACCAGGGAGCCCTGGGGATCCCCTCTCCAGTTCTGGGATTATGAGTGTGTGTCACTATGCCTGGCTTTTATATTGATCAAACTTGGGTCCCCAAGTTGGTGTGGCACTTTTCCCCACCATGGGCCACCTCCCCAGGGTTGATCTATTGAGAGGACTTGGGTTGAAAGAAGCAAATGACAAAGAAACCAGGCTTGGTTTCTGGTTGTTCTCCTGCTGATGATTACAGGCAGTGCTAAATTGTCGCTGAGATGACCTGTGACGACACAGGAAATACTGCCAACCAGAAGCTCACATGTGTAGCTGGTCTTTGCTACTTTGTGGGATCTTCTTTTTTTCCACCCTTTATCCCCCAGTTTCACCCTCTAACACTAGAAGGGAGAGAAACAAGGATAGAGGGGAGAGAGGAAAATCCTTGAAAATAATTTCTTTCCTTTTGTTTCTTGACCATGGCTACCAGCAAACTGAGACCAACCTCCCCAAACAACCAACAACCAATGACCTTGCCTCTCAGGGTCCTCACATTTACCCTCTGAAAGTTCCCAGAATTTCAAATGTCACACAATTGCAGAAACTGTCTGTAGCTGGCAAAACCATGATTCTGCTAGAGCATGAAACACGGCTTCTGCAGGCAGTCCTTGCAGCCTCACATCCCCACGCCTGGGATCAAAACAAAAGCACAGTCTTGTAATATTTCTCTTTTCTAAAAGAAACCAAAATTCCAGGCTTCTCACTACACACCTGAGCTTTGGTGTCCTGGGCTTGATTGGGAGTTGAACACAGAGGAAGGCATAGGCCACTTGACCTACCCTGGTTAAGGAGTCTCCAGCCACAATCACAGCATGACCTGAGATCCCACCATAAGTCACATTGTCCCCAGACCATGTGGTCTGGCCAAGTCTTCCAGTATGCAAAAACTTCCTCATGTTGGATGCACAGAAGTTACCTCTAAGGACCTGGAAACAGCCAGACTATGAGGAACAGCTCTTCCATTTGTTTATCTGTAAGGTGTGTGTGATTACTTTTTGAAACTGTGTCTTATGTAGCTCAGGCTGGCCTCAAACTCACTACGGATCTGAGGGTATCCTCAAGCTCATGGCAATCCTCTGCCTCAGCATCCTGAGTGCTGAGATTGCAGGATGAATCTCCTCCTTCGGCTCCAGTCCTTTCTTTGAAATGTGCAGAGTAGTTTGGAGACTCTGCAAAGTTCCAAGACTCAAGCTTAGTGAGCTCACTGTGTATTTCATTTCACCCATCTTCTTAAAGAGGAGGCAACGGAGATCAAGAGGTTAGTTAATTGGCCTGAAGCTCTTAGAGAGGAGACAGAATTCTAACCTGGAGAGAACTCAGGATATACATGAGATCGGACAACAAACTACGCAAGAAATTGCTCACAGCAGCAGTTAACAAAGTCAGTCATATGGAACACAGGTTTGGCCGTCAGGAAGGGTTCACAAAGGTCTGAGGGAGTGCAGAGGTGATGTAAGGGCTTAGTGTGGCAGAGTTTGGGGCGCTCCATCTCTCACTCCCTCCTCCCTGGCTGCACCACTAGGGATAATAATGCAAATGCAGTGTTAAAAGATGGCATTCAGCATTCACACTGCTGTCTTTGATTCCACCTTGAGACCAAACTTTGATATTTAAATGTCTTAGGTTGCGGCTGGCAGGGTAGCTCATCAGTTAAGAGCACACACTGCTGGGCCTGGTATAGAAGAGCAAGCCTTTAATCCCAGCACTTGGGGCAGAGGCAGGAGGATCTCTCAATTCAAGTCCAGTCTGGTCTACACAGTAAGTTTTAGGTCAGCCGGGAAGATGTAATGAGATCTGGTCTAAAAAAATTAACAGCAAAAGCAAAAACCACAAAAACAGGGCTAGAGAGGTGGTTCAGTGATTAAGAGCACTTGTTGCTGTTGTGGGGGGGGGGCGTGGATTTAGTTCTTAGCATCCATCCGTCCATCCATCACAACCATCCCCAACTCCAGTAACTCCAGTTCCAACATGCATGCACATACATAAACACATGCAGACAAAACACACATACACATAAAACAAATAAAAAAATCATATACTGATTATGAAGAGGGACCAAGTTCAAGATCCATCCCCAGAATCCACATCAGGCGGTTCATGATCACTTGTAACCACAATTCCATGGGATCTGACGTACCATTCTGGCCTCTTTGGATACTGCAGCCATGTGTACAGTGCTACACACACACACACACACACACACACACACACACACACACACACTCACACACACTCTTAATTTTAAAATATGAAAGCTGGATGTAATGGCACACACATTTTAATCTCAGCGCCAGGAAGCTGAGGTATGTAGATTTCTATGAGTTCAAGGCCATCCTGGTCTGCATAGAGAACTCCAAGCCAGCCAAGCCTACATAGTGAGACCTTCTCTCCAAAAGAAGAAACACTCTGATATATAAGATTTATATAATAAGTCTTAACTGCCTCAGGTTGGCTCCCAGAAGGCAGGCTCTAAAATGGAGTTAAGGCTGTGGGTGTTCTCTAAGAGAAACCTTTAGCATGAGCCCTTGGGGAGCTGGCAGAATGGGTATGCAACAGTGACAGCCCGCCAGTCCTCAGGGAGATTGGACCAAGCTGGGCTGAGATGGTCAGGTCTTAATCACACCCAGATACCTCACGGGTGGGTCATGGACTGGCAGCTGCCCCCAGAGTATACCCTTGACAGCAATGACTCTGCATCCTTGACAGCGGAGCCCCAGCAGCAGCAGATGTAAGCCTTTCACAGGAGAGAGAGGGAGGGGGAGAGACAGAGAGCTGGGGGACGCATCCCAGAGGTCACCACAGCCCCCAGCTGACCCCATTTCCAACTTAACTCCATAGGTCACACTTACTAATGAAAGCCCTTTACACTTCCTTGCTTTTGCTGGGTATTTGTCTTGAAGCCCGGCTTTCTTTTTTTTCTTTTCTTTTTTCTTTTTTTCATTCTTTAGCATTAGTTTATTTTTTTGTCAATCGTCTTACACTCTTATAATATCTGTGACTCATACACCCATTTCCATTTTTAATTTGCATATTATCATTTTCTTTAGTAACAATCCAGATGCAAAATGTGATGTTTGTTCAACATAAAAGCATTTTTCAACAATAATTCTTCATGAACCAATGTTTTATGATTATATTTTGCAAACATATGTAAAATTAACCTTTCTTTTTATGTAAATTATATAAGCTTTTGGAATCTAAATTTGAATAAAAATTTTTTTTCCATTTTTTTAACTTTTATTAATTACACTTTATTCATTTTGTTTCCCCCCCATAAGCCCCTTCCTCCTCCCCTCCGGGTCCCACCCTCCCCCCCTTTCTGCATGCATGCCCCTCCCCAAGTCCACTGATAGGGGAGGTCCTCCTCTCCTTCTTTCTGATCTTAGTCTATCAGTTCTCATCAGAAGTGGCTGCATTGTCAGGGTTCTAGGTTATCTCCACGGATAGTCCTTGGTTGGAGTATGAGTCTCTGGGAAGTTCCCTGTGTTCAAATTTTCTTGTTCTGTTGCTCTCCTTGTGGAGCCCAGCTTTCATAAAGGACAGTTCTCGCTGGATCATACAATAACAAACATGGTTTCGTTTTTTGCATGTTAATTGTCACAGATGACCAACTCAACTCTTCGCTGCTGGGTGATGGGTGAGCTCACTGAGCAGTGTACCCTTAACATTGTCCTTCTGTCTAGGTGAAAGTCATAGTGCTTGAGGACAATGACCCCTTTGCCCACTGTCACTACCTGGTGACTGTCCACACTGGACACCGGCGAGGGGCGGCCACATCTTCAAAGGTACCTGTTGGGTTGTGGGTGTAGCTCTCCCTGGTGCAGGCTGTCGCTGTCGCTGTGGAGGGTATTTGTGTTGCTGGGTGCCCTCCTCCTTCCATTTTGTATTTTGGAGGAAAGACTAATCCTTAAAAAAAATAACATTATGTATTGTGTGTGGGTGTGAGTATGTATGCGTGAGTGTGTGCATGTGTCGCATGCCTAGAGTTTTGCAGTGCTGGGATCAAGTGCAGCACTTCTGGGCAAACAATGCACCGGCTGAACTACAGCCATTTCTGGTGTCTGGGTTCTAGGTGACGCTCACCCTGTATGGCTCGGAGGGAGAGAGTGAGCCCCACCACCTGTCAGGCCCTGGTGCGGCAGTGTTTGAGCGAGGAGGGGTGGATGTCTTCCTGCTTTCTACTCTGTTTCCCCTGGGAGAACTGCGGAGCCTCAGGCTGTGGCATGACAACTCTGGGGACAGGCCATCATGGTGAGTCAGCAAATGACCAGGACCTTCAACGTCCAGTCCGGCCTCAATGCTTGAGTCAACGCCTCATTTCTTAGCCTTCACAAGCCTCTACAAACACATGGAATGGCACACATAAGCTCAGAGAGCCATCTGGCTCATGGTCCATACAAATGAAACCGGAAATCCATCCCTGGTATCCAGCACTGGATCCTCCCACGGCCTTTCTGCAGCACCAATTCAGGACTTTGTCCAAGGTCACACACAGCTACACATTCAGAGCAAGGTCTTATCCATTCTTCCTGAGATGAAAACTACCGACTCAGACAAATAGTGTCAGTATGACTAGCTATCAGCATGCAGCCCCTTAGAAAAACAGGGTTATCAGGCGTAGCGTGCACACATGCAATCCTAGAGTTTGGGAAGGTCAGGCTAGAAGAGTGCTATAAATTCTGGGATAGCCTGGGGCACATAGTGAGGTCCATGCCAGCCTGAGATAGAGTGAGACTTTATCACAAAAATGCTGGGCACGACAGGTGTGGTAGGGCTTGCCTTTAATCTCAATATTTGGGAGTCAAAGGCAGGTGGACCTCTGTGAGTTGAAGGTCTACATAGTGAGTTCCAGAACAGCCATGGATACATAGACTGTTTCAAAAGGGGGAAAAAAAAGACACCGGGTAGCATATACTAATAATCCCAGCACTTTAGGGGCAGGATTGGAGTTCAAGGTCATCCTTGGCTCCATAGACAATTCAAGACAAACCTTGTCTCAAGAAACACGAGAGAGAGAGAAAGAGAGACAGAGAACACTGCCTAGGTGTTAGCTATTTTGACAGAGGTTCTCACCCCATAGCCTACGCTAGCCTTGGGCTTCTGGCCGTCTCTGGTCTCAGCCTGTGAGAGCTGGGGTCAGAGGCATGAGCCACCACATCCAGCTCACTGCTGTCTTTAACTCACCAGATTCCCGGGAAGCAGACGCTGAAAGGCAAGTGAACATGTTGGGTGTCTACTAAAGGAGTCCCAGGGTCTGTCAGTACCTGGGGAGGGAGGCCAGACAGAGGTGTCCAGCAGGGGTGCAACCTAGTGACTGCCCAGCCAACCCTTGCGGATCCCTGAAGCTGTCCCAAGTTGGACCAAAATGTCCAGGTCCTGCATCACAGGACATCAGTCACCCAGGAGGCCCACAGCCTGGACATAGGTGGCCTTTGTGTCCCCAAAGAAACCTTGCTCATGGACATGAGGGATGTGTGTAGGACACAGTGGCCACTCTGCAGTGAGTACCCAGGGAGGAACAGCCCAGGGAGGAGCAGCTTTGCCATCTTCGGTTGGCTGAACAGTGGCAGAGAAGCGGCTGCTGGCCCACACCTCCAGAGACAGGCAAGATGGCGTCTCCTCCTCTGCAGCCCTGAAGCAGCTCACACTCCCATTGGTTCTCTTGCTTATGGTAGGGGTTCCGAGCAGGGGTTCTGAGTTGTCAGTTGTATTTCCCAGCACCCTGCCGCTTCTCCGCAGACAAGCAGCTGCCTCCAAAGCTGAGCTGGCTCTCTGCTGGCTGGCCTTCCCGCAGGGGACCAGCTCTCACGCAGCCGCCAGGTGAAGAACCTGTGTGCACTTTCTCCATGTGCACCTGGCTTTGGGGTCCGTTTTCTGAAGGTCTGACCTCTGTGGTGTCTCAGGGAGTTCTACCCCCATGCCTCATCTTCCGAGCTGCATCTCCCTTCTCCAGGTATGTGAGCCGGGTACTGGTGTATGAGCCTGTGATGGACCGGAAATGGTACTTCCTTTGCAACTCGTGGCTGTCCATCGATGTTGGAGACTGTGTCCTTGACAAGGTGTTTCCTGTGGCCACGGAGCAAGAGAGGAAGCAGTTTAGGTACTTCCTCTCTGTATTTTGTTTTGTTTTATTTTTATTTATTTATTATTTGTACAGAATTTTGTCTGCATGTGTGCCTGCATGCCTGAAGAGGGCACCAGGTCTCCTTATAGATGGTTGTGAGCCACCGTGCAGTTGCTGGGAGTTGAACTCAGGACTTTGGAAAAACAGCCAGTGCTCTTAACCTCTGAGCCATCTCCCCAGCCCTCCTTTCTGTCTTTTACAGAAAACGTACCTCAGTGTCTTCTTTAATCTTAGAGAAATAGCCTCACTACCCATGCATGCTAATAAAAGCACATTTCAACCAGAGGTCTGGGCATCTTTGAGCATACGGTACTGATGGAAGAGCCAAATGTCCTATTAGAATGAGGGCACTCGCAGGATTTGCATGCTAAGAGCCTGAAGTGTTTTCCAGGTAGTGAGGACGTGGGAACATTCACCCATATTTCCTGATGACTGCCACAGGATATTTTCTGTCAGTGGCCATGGTGGTTTGAATGGTGTGGTGTCTAGTTTTATGTAAGTGTGACACAAGCTAGAATCATTTGGGAAGAGGGAACATCAGCTGCGATTGGCGAGCCTGTGGCGCATTTTCTTGCTTGGTGATTGATGTGGTGGGGCCGGATTCACCGTGGGTAGCACCGCCCCTGGGAAGTATAAGAAGGAAGGCTGAGCAAGCCAGTATGGCTGCACCTTAGGCGATCCTTCTACCAGGGAAGGTAAACAGCGTTGCTCCATGGCCTCTGCTTCGGTTCTTTCCTCCAGGTTCTTGCCTTGAGTTCCCTGCATGATAGGATGAAATAAACCCTTTCCTCCCCAAGCTGATTTCTGTCATGGTGCTTATCACAGCAACAGAGACCCTAAGTAGGATAAACGGTTATCCGATCTGCTAGCCCTTGGCGGCTCTTTTCTGTGTTATACTGCCGATGGGGTTTTGGCTCATGCTTCCTTTTGGTTTATCCATTCCTCCATTCCCTTTTCTCATATGCTGGACAGACCCTAATGCGTACACGCACACACATCACCATACATTGTTATTTTACGTGTGTGTGCACATGCACGCTCGTTGCTTTGTATACACATGGGAGACAGAGGTCATTCCTCAGTAGCCATCCACCTTGTGTTTGCAGCTGGGTCTCTCTTGCCCACAACTTGCCATTTTGACTAGGTCGGCCCACCAGTGAGTCCCAGAAACCTCTCAGTCTGTCTCTGCTTCCACAGCTCTAGGAATCACCACAATCACTGTTCACACAAGATAGGGATCAAACCCAGGTCTCAATACAGCAAACGCTTTACCAAAATGATTTCCAGGCCACTTATTTTACGTCTGTGGCATTACTGGAAATACGCTGCCTTTTGTGTTTGGCAGTCTCCCTTTGGGGAGAATATGTTTAGGTCAAACGATTTTCTTTAGTTTTGTTTGAGAAAGGGTCTCATGTAGCCCAGGCAATGAGACAAAATGCTTGATCCCCCTTCCCCTGTCTCCCAAAGTACCGGGTTTACAGGCATATTCCATCATGCCTAGCGTTCCTAAGGGCTTTGCAATGGCACACAGAATTATGGTGAATTTACTCACCCTCATCAATGGGCGGTAGGCCTGCTTCCAGGCCATTTATTTCCCCTCCCAGTGGGGTCTTCAAAAGGGATAAATTCTGAATTAGGAATCTGGGTACTCAAGAGGCTGGTACAGACAGCGGCATGTGTAGTGAGTCCTGAACTGATAATATTATAGCTATTTTTATCAAATTGAAATTACAGCAAAAATACTGTGGACACTGACCACATACCTATATGTTAGCACTGCCTCAATGCTTTACAAAGATGCTCTTGCTGTCTCAGTGGTACAGACAGGCTATAGTAAATGTGAGGCTAGCCTGAGCTACATGAGGCCCTGTCTCAAACCAGTGACAACTATGGCTTTAAATCCCTCCAAACATCCAGTGAGGACAGTTCTGTCATTATCTCAAATCAAGGAAGCTGAAACTGTGAAGAATGACATCACTTGCCTGAGGTCACAGGGCTGGGAGAAGGCAGGCTAGGACTTCAAGGCATGCTCTGGATGTCGCTCAGTTGGTAGCGTCCTTGCCTAGCATGCGAAAAACCTCAGGTTCCATCCCCAGCACCCTATAAACTGGGTGTGATGACACATGCCTGTAATTCCAGCACTCAGAAAGTGGGAGGTCAGGAGTGCAAGGTCGTTCTCCAAGGGCAATTGTGGGACCAGCCTGTGCTACAGGAGACTCTTGTGTCAAAGGTAAAATCTGTTAATTGTTCAAATGGGTGTGTGTGTGTGCACAGACATATGTGCCTGTCTGCGATTTGGCTTTTGTGTAGAGGTCAGAGGACAGAGATCAGAGGACTAGTTCTTTCCTTCTGCTTCTTTGAGATTTGTTTTTATGCGTGGTTTGCCTGTGTGTGTGTCTGTGCACCAGGCGTGCACAGTGCCTGTGGTGACCAGGAGACAGTGTCAGAGCCCTCAGAACTGGAGTTACAAATGGTTGATAGCTTGGTTGACAGCTTCCACCGTGTGGGTGCTGGGAAACAAACTTAAACAGTGCAAGGCGCTCCTAGTCACTGAGCCATCTCTCCCACCAGAGCTCATTTCTGAGGCAGGTTTCTGCTGCTTACCAGAGAGCTCCTCCTGTCTGCACCTCCCATAATGCCTTAGGAGTGCCCCGGGTTACAAGCCACTGAATCCAGCTTTTTTAAAAAAATGCGCTTCACAAAAGCCTGCTCCAGGCTGCTTTTAAGAGAGCAGTCTCTCTGCATATTTGTCTCCCTAAATGCCCCCCCTCTGTGTCTCTGTCTCTGTCTCTCCTGACCTGTCCACAGCCACCTGTTTTTCACAAAGACCTCCACGGGCTTCCAGGATGGGCACATCTGGTATTCAGTCTTCTGTAACGCCACACGGAGCGGCTTCACGCGTGTGCAGAGGGTGTCCTGCTGCTTCTCCATGCTCCTCTGCACCATGCTGACCAGCATCATGTTCTGGGGTGTCCCAAAGGACCCTGCCGAGCAGAAGATGGACTTGGGTAAATCTCAGTATGCTTTTCCGATGGTTGTGGCTGGTGGGCACCAGCCTTGCTGGCCCGGCCAGACCACTGTAACCTAGAGGAGATTCTTGTTTTTGTTTGATTCGTTTGATATTCTGAGACAAGGTCTTACCAAGTGTCACTAGCCATTACAGGTGTGTACCGCCGTGCCTGACTTGATTCTGTCTTTGTGACTTGTGTGTGTGTGCGCGCGCGCACACACACACACACACACACACACACACACACACACACACACGGGGAAACCAGAGTTCAACCTTGGGTGTTTTTCCCCAGGAGCCAGCCCCTGTCCATTTTTGAAGATGGGGCCTTAAGCTCGTCAGCTGGGCTCCTACTGCCTGGCTAAAATGTCTCGGGATCTTCGCATCCCTCCTCTCAGCACTGAGATTATAAGCAGGTGCCTCCCCTCCCGCCCCCCACACCCAGCATTTTCACAGTGGCGCTAGGAATCATGGGCTACAGGTTTCCAAGTTTGCATGGTAAGCAGGTTACAAACTGAGCTGCCTCCTCAGCCTCCTTGTTTTAGTCTCAATTGGGACCACGTAGATGTGGTTGGCTGTGTACCCGCACAGCTGACTTAGCCTCCAGCCCTTGCAAAATGTAAGCTGAAAAAAAAAAAAAAGAAAAGAAAAGAAAAAGAAAAAAGAACTGACCCAAATTTGCCAGGTAAGGTGGCTCACGGCTTTAATCCCAGCCTTCAAGGATGCAGAGGCAGGTGGATCACTGTGAGGTCGAGGCCAGCCTAGTCTACAAAGTGAGCCCAGGACAGCCAAGGCCACACAGAGAAACCCTGTTGGAGGGGAAAAAAGTAAGAGCAAGCTAAGCCTCGTGGCCCAGACTATGCTAAGCTGCCTTGTTAGCAGGGATTATCTGGCTTATCTCACAGCTCTGGGTAAGCTAAGGGCCTCTTAGGAATGGAATAGGAATCCAAAGGTTCACAGGTGACCTCCCTGGAGTTGTGCTTCACTGGTTCTTCACTGAGTAGCTGCCTTCTGCTGGGAGGGTGGAGGGGACTGGCCTCTTCACGTCTGTCTCCATTTGACCTCTCCCCCTCCCCTTTTCCCTAGGCAAAATTGAATTCACGTGGCAGGAGGTGATGATTGGGTTGGAGAGCTCCATCCTTATGTTTCCCATCAACCTCCTGATTGTCCAGATCTTTCGGAACACCCGACCTCGGCTCCCAACAGAGAAGGATGGGAAGCGGGAGCAGGGACCCCCCAACCTGACTCCCTCACCACAGCCCGTGGAGGAGGGACTTCTGACACCTGACACAGTGACCAAGGCATGTCCTCCTCAGCCTCAGCCTGCGTATGAATGGCAGGGTGTACTAGGCTGGCAGTAATGGAGTGCAGGCTGGTGCATGAGGCCCGCCAGCCTGGATTATACCCTAGTCTCAGTTGCCAAGATTCACCAGCTGAGAACAGACTGACGCATGTACACACACATGCACCTCTTTTGAGTACAAAATATTGTGTGCAAAATGTCCCACCCTCACTGGAAACTCTGTTGCTAAAATTCTTTCCCTGGGAGGAGACACACACACATTTATCTACCCTCCTTCTAGGCTCCAAGGATGAGCCAAAGCATGAGTTCACCTGGAGAAATCAGTGAGTTTTCTAGGCTTCCTGACAGAGCGATGGGGAAGGGTTACAGATGGGAGCATGGGTGACCTTAGAGCAGCCGCCTTGGAAGGGGAGCACACAGCAGTGAAAGACACCATGACTAAGGCAACTCTTATAAAGGAAAACATTTACTTGGGGCTGGCTTACAGTTTCAGAGGTTTAGTCCATTCTCATCATGGTGGAAAACATGGCAGTATGCAGACAGACATGGTACTGGAGGAGTTGAGAGTTCTAAAGCTTGATCCACAGGCAACAGAGACTGTGTGACACACTGGACAGAGCTTGAGCACAGGAGACTTCAGAGCCCACCCCCACAGTGACACTTCCTCCAACAAGGCCACACCTTCTAATAGTGTCAGTCCCTATGGGCCAAGCATTCACATACATGGGTCTATGGGGACCATACCTGCTCAAACCACCACAGCTTCTTTATGGCTGTGTAGATGGAGGCCCTCTCCTCCTTCCTCACCATCCTCTCTCCTCTCTTCAAGATCTAATGCAGCTATGTCAGACTTGCTTACATTTGGCTGAGGGCCTCATGACCCTTCCTGTCCCCTCCTTCTCCTCCTAGGGAAGGTAAGCAGTCAACAGGCCCAGCTATTCATCTGTGAGTAGAACTTAATATGGCTGAAATGTGGTCCTAAGGACAGTGCTACATTGCAGACCTCAGGCTAGGAGCCCATAAAAGAGACACTTCTTCTGGCACTCATGTACTTGATAATCTTTTAACCCTTGCCATGTGCACTGATTTGAGAAATGCAGCCTTGGAATGAGTCCATTATAGCCCTACAAGAAAGATGTTAGTGGCTGCAGGTCATGCTTCTAAGGGCAGAGCTGTAGTTGAAACATGGATCACACAGCTCGGGCCACACGCTCTCGGCCTTCATGCCATGCACCCTGTGGCTCATGTTCCCTCATATCACTGGGCTTTTTTGCAGGGTATAGAGCGTCTCGTCGCCTCACTATTTAAGGCCCTGAAGGTGCCGCTGCCAGCCTCAGGCTGGGACTCTATGAGCCTGATGGACATTAACTACCTCCTCGCCTTAATGGAAGACATTGTCTGTCCAGACAGCACAACAAGATGGGAGTTCTGGGAGGAAGCCAGGGGGAGAGACGACCCTTTTACCTTCCCACTTGGGTCTGTTCAGGGGAAAGGTGAGAGGAAAAGTATCCCAGGACCCCCCCCCCCCAAGACCAAGTTCTTGGCACAAAGATTTATTTGCCCTAGAGAGACAGAGGACAGGGATAAGGGGAAAAGACAGGACATAGAGGAAGAGGGATAAGTAGAGAGAGAAAGGAGCAACAAAGGAGAGAGAGAAAAGGGGCAAAGGGGAGGAAGAAGAGCTGTTTGTCCTGGAAGACAAAGGATTCTCTCAGGAAAGAGAGGAGACAGGCATGGTCTATGGACAAATGGCAGTTCATAAAAGTAAAAAGGGAAACCCCATTTTAGAATGAGGTATATAATTCTAATTGGGCACATTAATTAGGTGAGTCAGTGGGGGCTTTTTGACCGCTGGATTTCAATAGTTTGATAACTGGATCTTGGTAGTCAGCCTCAGGAGGAAGAATTGGCCAAATAAGGGAATGGACCTTGGGGGCTAGCTTTAGAAATGTAATCTAACAGCTTTTAACAGGGTGGGGGGGGGATCAGGGAGAAAGGCAGAGCCTGCCAGAGCCATGCCTGCCATGGTCGAGCTGGCTACACAAGTTGGTCTCTGGCCTCAAAGCATGCTAACCCACATACAATAATAAATGTGACTATTTGCTTTAAGCAGTGTGAAGGTAAATAATTTGGAAAACAAAGACTCCAGAGGGAAATGCCCAGACAATGGTCACTTCAAGTTAGTCCCTGCTGAATCAGGGTTCAAGGGAAAGTATGCCCATCTCTTCATAAGTGGGGACATTTCAAACCGTCCCTGATAAAAAGCGGAAAGGAAAGCATCGCTGCCCTAGCAGTTTGAGGCCAGCCTCTGCACCTCAGATAATTTCCTACAGCTGGCACGCAGCAGGTGAACTCAGGCTGCAGCGATTGTTGCTTTCATTGTAGCTGGTTCATTGTCACTCACCACCATCTGGTCGCTTTCTCATTTGTCTCCCAGAGAACCCCTGGCACCCCAAGCCCAAGACGGTGGTGAGTGGCCTTTGGAAGGACAGTGTCTATAGGCATTGTCTCTACCTTCAGCTGGAGCACGTGGAGCGGGAGCTGCGGCTGATGGGGCCCCAAGGCTTCCTACATGACCACAGCCATGCCCAGGCCCTCAGGCAGCTTCATGTTCTGAAGGGCCACCTCTGGGGGCAGCCTGGCAGCACAGCACTAGCCCATGCCAGGTAATCTACTTCCTTGGGTGCTGAATGGACACAGATGCCCTTTCCAGCCTGGGGACACAGGCTGGAGCACCTTGCCCACCCTTGGAAAGATGTGCACACAGACCATGCAGGCAGAAGGTAGACAGGATTCCTCTGAGTACCCTCAAAGCCAGCGGGGGTTAAAGGGACAGGGTTACTTGCTGGGAGAGGCTCAGTCCTTTGCATAGAACTTTGCAGTCTGTGACCATATTCATGTCAGTTGTTCCACAGTCTGGAATGTTTGAGAAGCATCTCAGTCTCTCTGTGCCTCGGTTTCACTCTCTGGTTGAAATGTGGAGCTCCTGCCAGGCCTGATGCACAGTCCTATAACCCCAAATACTAGGGTTCTAAAGCAGGAAGATCACACATTCAAAGACAGCTCACGCTACATAGCCAAGTTGAAGGCCAACCTGGGTGTCTCAGTCAGGGTTACTATTACGACGATAAAACACCATGACCAAGAGCAAACTGGGGAGGACAGAGCTTATTCAGCTTACACTCTGACTTTGCTGTTTATCACTGGAGGAAGTCAGGGACAGGAACTCAAACAGAGAAGGAACCTGGAGGCAGGAGCTGATGCAGACGCCATGAAAGGGTGCTGCTTACTGGCTTGCTCATGGCTTGGTCAGTCTGCTTTCTTACAGGACCCAGGATCACCAGCCCAGGGGTGGTACCAGCCACAATGGGCCAGGCCCTCCCCTATCGATCACTAATTAAGAAAATGCCCTACAGGCTTGCCTACAGCCTGAGACGTTTTCTGAATTGAGGCTCCCTCCTCTGAGGACACTGTGTAGATGATATAAAACTATCCAGTGTTTTGTTTGTTTGTTTTTGTTGTTTTTTGTTTTGATTTGGTTTTTTTTTTTCCTGGACTTAATATATGTGCCCTCGATTTATGTGCCTGCAGAATCCAGAAGAGGGCTTATAGACAGTTGTGAGCTGCCATGTGGGTGCTGATTAGAACCCAGGTCCTCTGGAAGAACAGCCAGTCTTCTTGACCACTGACCCATCTCTCTAGCACCTATATTCCTTTTTCCTTTGTTTTGTTGTTTTGAGACAGGGTCTCTCTACATAGCCCTGGTTGTCCTGGAACTCGCCATTGGCCTCAAACTTACAGAGATATTCCATTTGCCTCTGCCTCCAGAGCGCTGGCATCTATAATGCCTGGAGCTTGTGTTATTTTTCTTATAAACTTTTTTCTGTATTCATTTTCTTAAGTTTTACTTTATTTATATATACATTTGTGTATGTATTCATGCCAGAGGCTGGAAGAGAGTGTTGGATCCTTTGGAACTGGAATTATAAGTGTCTATGAAGCAGCTGATGTGGATGTTGAGACCTGAACTCCACTCTGCTGCTAGAACAGTGAAGTGTTCTTAAACAGCTCTGCAGCCCAAGCCTGGGCAAGTTAGTGAAACCTTCTCTCACTATGTGTATATACATCATCCATCCATCCATACAGTCTGGCACATTCCTTCTTTTTCCTTTTGGAGGGGGGATATTAAAATATCTAGACATAATACAAAATTACCCCAGGTTACCTCAGAATGCATCCCAGGAAGGGTCATTTTCTGACTAAATTATCATACCACCATTCCAGCTAAAATTTTTTGTTGTTCACTTACCAAAAACTGTGTGAGATATGGAAAGACGGCCCTTGGCCTCCAGCATCCTAGGTGAGTCTGTTGCCACTTGGTCCATTACCATATATGTAATGGAATATATGTAGTGGAATGTAGCTCAGTGGTAATAGACTCACTAGGATGTATAGAGAGAGGGGAAGGGCTCTTTCAGGGCCTGCTCCCTAGCCAGCATTGGACAAAGGACAGCCTATACAGAAGTTCTTTCAGGCATATACAAATTACAGAGGAAAAACAGGTCATCAGATGTCAAAGCAGCTTGCCCAACGTCATTTGGTGGGTGAGGACAGAAGAGGATTTGGCTGTGTGTCTTTGGGTGCCACCCCTACTGTCGTTCTATCTTCTTTTGTAGCACTCCTCGGGCCAGCAAGACCCCTCGTGGCCTACCCTGGTGGTGTGTCCTGGTGGGCTGGCTTCTGGTGGCAACCACCAGCGGGGTGGCAGGCTTCTTCACCATGCTGTATGGCCTGCACTACGGAAGGGCCAGCTCCCTCAAGTGGCTCATCTCCATGGCCATCTCCTTTGTTGAGAGTGTGTTCATCACTCAACCCCTGAAGGTCAGAACATTCCTCAACCCTGTCCCTTCTCTGTACCTTTACCCTCCTGTGATCAGTTCTTTTCCAAGCATAGCTATTGTTTTTATCTTCATATAACATACCAGCTGGAATCTCTGTACTGGTCTGGGAGCAGAGATAATGGAGATAGTACCATAATAGCCCAAAAGACTTGTCCCTTAGTACAGTTTATACTGGAGCTAAAGCTTCATAATCACCTTCACCGTTAAGATTGTGGGAAAATTTATAGGTGAGAGATCATAAAACTGGAGATGTAGCTCAGAAGTAAAGAGCTTGCCTGGCATGCACAAGGTTCTGGGTTCAATGCCCAGCACTTTTACCAAAAGTTCATGTCTTTATAGCATGTATGTGTGTGTGTGTGTGTGTGTGTGTGTGTGTGTGTGTATGTGTACTCCTATAGGATATCTCAAATCCTTCCTCCATCTACCTTTGACTCCCCGAATTATGTGTATGTATTTATTTAGAATAAGGTCATGCAGTCCAAGGTGGTCACAAACAATTTAGCCGAGGCTGGCCTCAAACTTCTGACTTGCTTGCCTCCACCTCCCTAAGTGCTGGGATTCCAGGTGTGTGTCATCACACTTTGTTAATATAGATGCTCTGTTAATATTCCTGGAGATCAAACCAGGGCTCTGTGCATGCTAGGCAAGCACTTGGCCACTGAGCTATATCTCCAGTCCTAAATGGTCTTCGTGATAAGACTCAAAAGCTTCCGTGACAATTCCACCAACCAAGGCTAGAAGACTAGCAAGAGCAGGGATGTGTCCTGAGTGTTCATAACCAAGTCGTAGGATCCCCCTTAGTTGGGCATAGCAGAACACAGGTTGCAGGCTGTATCAGTGGATGCAGGGGTGCAGAGATGGGGTGAGGAGGAGGCAGTAATTCTTCAGAGTTAGGAGTGAGAGATGCTCTGCACAGCTGGGCAGCAAGTGGGACGCTCTGGGAAGGTTAAAGGCATGTCAGCCTTTTGGACTGGTGGTAGCCCTCCCTCCTCATACTGATCTCCCTCTGTGGGAATGGCTGGTCCCATATCTCAGATCTTGAGAGTTCCCTGCAGCCTTTGGCTCACACAAGGTAATTTCCAGGTGCTGGGCTTTGCTGCTTTCTTTGCACTGGTCTTGAAGAGAGAGGATGATGAAGAGAACTTGCCTTCATTGCCAGGACATCTGTCTGGCCCAGGTAATAGGGTGTGTAGAGAAAGGGCCTGACCACCTAGTGGTCTGGAAAGGCTAAGTAGGCCTGCGAAGAACAGATCTACGAGGTGTCCTGGGCCTTGGACACTCTCTAGAACTCCCCAGCCTTCATGCAGGATTTATCAGTCATCCCCGAGTAGCCAGACAGGAGGCACCCTTGCTTGTCCCTTGAGAAGCCTTATTCTTTCCCTCCAATCCTTTCTTTCTGATAACTCAGCAAAATCATTTAGCCAGGGGTGTGTCCTCAGGGACCTGGTAGGACCCTCTAGCCATAGGTATGCCTTTGGAGACCCGCCAGGACCCTTTAGCCGAGGGTGTGTCCTTGGGGATTGGGCAGGCTGTATTTTTCTTTTTAGAGATAGAATATCATATAGTCTACACCAGCTTTAATCGTAGTATACAACTAAAAATGACTTTGCTCTTCAGATTAAGTAAGGCACACACTCTACCAAAGGAGCTACATTCTCCGATCCACACCGTGGGTCCCTGAGAGTTCAAACAAAAACATTCAGTTAGTTCATAGGTAGGCTGCAGAAAGTAGTTGTGCATTAGACTTCTGAAACAAAAACTCTGCAGTTCATAACCAAGGAGCCAAACTGCCCCTGTTGGTTTTGGGAGATGAGGATTTGTGGAAACAGCTATGCTGAACCCTGGTCTAGGGGGCCGCTGGTCAGTCCTCTCTTCCCAATAAAGTTCTCAAAGGACCGTGAGAGGAGCTCTCCTCAGACAGATGAGCAAACAAAACAGAATCAATAACTGACCTTGACCCCAGGGACAATAAAGCAGAAACCAGTGTGCTGGCTCCTACAGAGGTTCACCCTGTCCCAGGCTTGTAATCTTCCATTCCAGGATAGAGTTTTGGCTTTGCACATCCAAAATACCATTACTTCAAAAAAAAAAAAAAAAAAAAAAAAAGAGTCTCCTTTCTCAGTAATTTCTCTCTGAGGAGATGCCAGCTTCTAGGGCCATCAGATACTCATTCAGTCATTCCTTTGGCGATTCTTCAAGGAGAGCTGGCTGTGTTTCAGGAAACAATGGCTTCAGAGCATAATTGACATAAAATTCACTCACTGTTGGATGTAATTCATCGATTCTAGTAAATTTGGAGGGTTATATAACTATCATCAATGTGATTAATATTTAAAACACTTCGTCCCCCTTTTGTTCATTTGCAGTTTGTTCCTGACCCCAACCCTAGCCTGGGCAACATGGTACCAGCTGGATGGAGTGGGTCACAACCCCTGCCAGGATAGACAATGTAGGGAGGGGACATTAAAGTGCGTTAATGCATAAGCAAACATCTAAGGAAGTCTGACAAGGACAAGGCTGCAGAGGAAGAAGACCCTTCAAGCAGGGACTTGGAGGGTCTAGGGTAATGCTGGGATTTATGGGGGCTTAAAGTAGGAGAGTGGCCCTATCTGCCCTTGTCCTTTTGCAGAGGTCACCACTCTAGGTATCAGATCACAAATGGAATGTGGAGAGCAGCAGGGATACTGTAGGCAGAAGGGCATGAACACACAGATACATGGGTTATAGCACACCTATCAGAATGGCTAGTGACAACACCTGATTTTCCTGCCATGTGGGGCATGGTTCCATGTCTTTATGTCCACAGGCTCCTATGCCTTGTTCAGAACAGGAAGACGCAGCAGCAAGGATGGTTATCAGCCTCCTCTGGCCGCCGCAGTTGAGAAGATGAAAAGCACTCGTCTCAAGGAGCAGAAAGCATTTGCTCTCATCAGAGAAATCCTGGGTAGGCAGCTTCCCACATCTGGGCTTCTAGCACATCCTGGAGCAGACATCTGCATCCTGCTTGGTTGTTATGTGTGGTTTTCTGATCTAAATCTTTTCACATAAAGGGGCCCTTTCAGCCTTCTAACACTCCCAACCTGTCTCTAGCAAGCAGGCAAGTGCCATGAGCCCAGGGACCATATCTGTCTGCTCCATCACAGCACAACACAGGACAGCACAGGTGCCCAGCTTTGACAGTTCTATCTTTAAAATGCTTATAGGGGTCTGCAGAGGGCTCAGTAGGTGAGAGTGTCCACTTTACAAGCATGAGGCCCTGAGTTTGCATTCCCAGCCCCCACATAAAAAAACAAAACCAAAAACCAAACAAACAACCCTGATGCGGTTGCATGTACCTGGAGCTAGCTGTAGGGGGCAGAGTTGGGAGGAGTACGCACTGGGCCTTGTTCTAAATGCTTTATAAACATTAGCTGGTCCTCGCAGGTCTTCAAATTGTTACCTGAACGATGAGAAGGCTGAAGCATTCACAGGGGACACGTGGCGGGGAAGCAGCAGGGCCGCCTTGTCTGCGCACCTCCCTCCTCTCTGTCTGTTTGCAGGGTGGCGGGAGCTGCGCTGCAAGCCCTCAGCTGCTCTGAGCCATGTATGCTCCCTGAACTCGGTGGGAGTCAAAAGCCGGCCTAACCAGGCTGTGCATCCTTTCCAGCTTACCTGGGCTTCCTGTGGATGCTGCTGCTGGTGGCCTATGGGCAAAGGGACCCCAGTGCTTACCACCTCAACAGACACCTGGAACACAGCTTCACTCAAGGCTTTTCAGCTGTTCTGAGCTTCAGGGAGTTCTTCCAGTGGGCCAACACCACTCTTGTGAAGAACCTATATGGCCATCACCCAGGTAGTCCCCTTGCCCTGGGACAGCGTGTCAGCCCCCCCTCCCTTGCACGTGTAACTTTGTGGAACAGCCGTAAGTCACTGACAGCATAAAAACACAGTAGCCACATGACCATAAGCTTTGACAGGCTATCAAAAGGCTGATGTGAACTGATGATAATCTTGCATGAGACATAAGAAGCCTAAATTGACGAGGCGAATACGGACAGGAGAAAGCACATGAGACTAGCCAAGCCAGCATGCCATGGAACTGCCAAATCCATGCAGCTGCAGAACATTGAGTGTGACCACCATGGGGTCATCTGAGTAAAGGGAGGGTGTGAAGCTGTGTGCAAGAAAGGGGCAGGGAGAGCACTGTCTCATGAAAGAGCGCTGACAACCATGTTTAACCTCATGGAGAAGAGGTGCCATGGAGGCTCCCACACAAGGAAGCAACGCAGATATGTGTTGCAAGAAGCATCAGTCTGTAACTATGTGGAGGTTGGGGTGAAGAGCATTTTGAGTCAGGATGCTAGAAAGATGATGGGGACTGATGCAGGGATATAGGAGAGAGGGGATGGGAGAAAGTATTGTTGGGATGTGGTGGCTGTTAGAAAGTGAGGGCTGGGAAGAAGGACACAAACGGTCCTTCAGACTTCTAACAGGATGGCGGGTATAGCCCCCCGAGAGACTTCATGGAGAACATAGAGTGTCCAAGATGGAGAAGTGATGAAGTAAGGATGAGTTTAGTAAATATATTCCTGATAGAGTGGCAGTGGTTGGTCCAGGAAAGGAAGCTGACACATCACTCATCAGCAATGAGGTTTATTAGGAGAAAGGGCATCAAGACAAATCAGGGAAAGAATATTAGATAGAAAATGGTACAGCACATGTGAGAGTCAAGCATGATGAGGCTCTTAAAGGGAAGGAAGGCTTTCTTTTAAAATCTGGAGAGAAAGGGCTGGAGAGATGGCTCAGTGGTTACTGTCAGCTCTCCCAGAGGTCCTGAGTTCAATTCCTAGCAACCACAAGGTGGCTCACAATCATCTATACTGGGGTTTGATGCCTTCTTCTGGCATGCAGGTGTACATGCAGATAAAACGCTCATATATGTAAAAATAAGTAACTCTTTAAAAAGTTGGAAAAAAAAATAAAAAGGAATGAGAATGAGCCAGGCATGGTGGAGTATGCTTTTCATCCCAGCACTTGGGCGGCAGAAGCTGGCTGATCTCTTTAAGTTCCAAGACAGCCAAGGCTATATAGAGAGATCACAGAGGGTTGAGGAGAGAATATGAATGCGAGCTGGGGAAGGGTGATACCGTGAGAGGGGTGGTGGGAAAGGAGGAGGCCAGAGAAATGCCTTCGAAGAGAATCTCATGAGGAATCTTTTGAGAATTCTGTAGGGCAATGTCCAGAACATAGGGCATATTAGACTTTTATAAGCTTCTAGTGGCTGGGAAGTTTTGTGTATTGTGACTTAGTTCAGAGTAGCATGCATGATGAAAAGCGTGGGGAAGAGAGGAGCACTAGTTATGACCTTAAACTAGGAGCCATAAAACCACAGCACAGAAAAACTTCTCAGTTCAGTCCCAGAGATTGCTGCATGGCGGTGTAATCTCTCCAGGCTGAGGTTCTTGCTTCTTGCTAGTGACCCAAGTCTTAAAGGGGCAGGGCCTCTGGTTATGTCTCTAGTGGATACACCTATGATCATATTCGCATCTGAGTAGGGGGAGCATGGGAAGTATTAGAACGCTTTCAAAGGCTACACTTGCCCTCCTGGTTCCCATCTTTAGGCTTTGTCACTGACGGGAACTCCAAGTTGGTTGGCAGTGCTCACATTCGTCAAGTGAGGGTCCGGGAAAGCTCTTGCGCTGTTGCCCAGCAGTTCCAGGCTTCTTTTGATGGATGTCATGCTCCGTACTCCCTGGGTGTTGAAGACCTGGCAGACTATGGAGAAAGCTGGAATGTCTCTGCTCACAATAACAGCAATGGCTTCCCTCAGGCGTGGCGATACCAGAACCAGAGACAACGCCAGGGTTATCCCACGTGGGGCAAACTTACCGTGTATGGGGGAGGAGGCTATGTGGTCCCCTTGGGAACTGACCACCAAAGTGCCTCAAGGTAAGACTGACATGATTCTAGCTCAGTGAAGTCATGTGTTAAGAGTGCATGGCAGATTGGAGAAATTGGCCTTCAAATTAAGGCAGGGCCAACTTCAGTCATGCCACTGTGGGAACGGCAAGGCAAGTAAGAACCATGGGGTAGTCTTTTCAGGCCCCCAGAAGTGGCATACTCCCAGATTTGGGAGGCAAGACCCTCTGCAGCTATTATCACTAAGCACACATACATGTACACACACATAATTTTCTTTTCTCTCTCTGGAGGCAGTGATGCTACCACCATTGTGAATGAGGAAACCATGGTTTATCCTTTATTTTGTTATAATTTGTTAAGTTATTATCTTGCCCAAGAGGTAGTCAGGATTTGAACTCAATTCCCTCTGTCACTCCAGGACATATTGCTCTTTTTATTACACAAGGCTTTCTCCAGGACCTGGTCCCACATAAGGTATCATCTCAGAGGAACCTCTACAGTGTGGCTACTGCCTGAGCCCCAGTGCTTCTGGAGTTTCCTGTAACACTGTGGCTCTTTGGCTTAAAAAAAAAAAATTCCACTTTCCTGGATGGGGTGTATCCAAATACACATTCCTGCACCTTGGCCCAGCTTTTTACATGCATCTGACACAGAACCAGAGAGGCTGTCATCACAATATGCTATGTTGACCGGGGACCTCTTTTGAGGACCTCTGTTCAGGAGACTATGTGCCAATACACCATGTGGCTGGCAAATGGTGACTGTCCCCCAAGAGCTAGCCATGTAGCCCAGGAGCAGAGCCCAGGAGAAGGTTTAGACAGTGAGCTCTAGTGGCATCCAGGGGTTCCTGGGCAGGGAGCATCCCGAGAATGAAGATACCCAAGCACCCCTCTTCTCTGCAGGGTTCTCCAGTACCTCTTTGACAGCCGCTGGTTGGACACCCTGACTAGAGCAGTGTTTGTGGAGTTCACTGTCTACAATGCCAATGTCAACCTGTTCTGCATTGTCACACTCACCCTGGAGAATAGCGCCCTAGGTGAGAGCCATCTTCCCTGGGATGTGTCTCTTGACATAGCTGGTCCCGCTGCCTCGGGGACTGGGGTCCAGGGAAGTTGGGGTGGGGGTCCGGGTTCACCCTGCCATGGGTCATGAATCCCTGGGTCCCTGAGAGCAATGTCTAGTCTACTTTCTGTCTTTACTCTGACCTGGTCTCTTTCATTATCTTAAGGGAATTGAGTGGAGTGCGAAGGTAGTTTATTCATCTCTTAGTCCCATGGTGGGCAGGACATCACCATGCAGTCTGCAAGCATACAGCTGAGATCAGAGCTTCACACATGATGGGCTGGGCTTTCACACTTTCTGTTCATTGTTTCTCCCCATACGCCAACTTTTCAACATGCTGATTACAAGCTACCAAATCAAAACATCAACCTAAAATCTTCTCAGCTAATGTTCAATTTGCCTAGAACTCAACTTTCTCTCCCTTAAATACTGAACATTTAAAAAGTATTCACTTGCTTTGTTTGTTTGTTTGTTTGCGTATTTTGAGTCAGAGTCTTGTATAGCCCAGATGGGCTTCAAACTTAGCATAGTGTCACTACTTCCTGATTGCTGAGGCTGTGGAGAGGGGGAGCCACCACACTCAGCCTAAATTTTAAAAACATTAATTTTATTCTTTTAGAATTTCATGCATGCTTATAGTATGGTACACACTGTGTATTTTTTATCAGATCTACTCCCACTAAATTAAAGAAACAAACATGCATACACACACACACACACACACACACACACATATATGCAGGATCTTGCTATGAGGCCCTTGTCCCTTGTTGGCCAGGAACATAATTATCAACCTGTCTTTCTGTCACCCTGAGGGCTGGCTTATGGTTGACTTCTGTGTTGGCCATGTGGTGGTCTTCGGGGAAGCTCTGTGGGGGAAATGGCCTTAATGATTAATGTAGGGGGGCTGGTAGAAGAGTCTCAGTGAATGTGCTCTGTCAAGGGGCTGCACAACATCCACCCCAGAGACGGAGGGTCTTATGGACCATCCGGAGCAGCTCCCTTCTGGATTGTTCACTGTCCTTGGCATCCTGCCCATGTCCAGCTTTGCCCCTTGTCTCTCCTTGTCCTAATGATATTTGTCTTCTCCTTGCCAACCTAGAGAGGGTCTGAGTCTGGTCAGAAGATGGGACTCCAACAGGCAGGTGAACAGGAGGCACTTTTCTCCCCAGGTACCTTCTTCTCACACGTGGCCCTGCAGAGCCTACGCCTCTACCCCTTCACGGATGGCTGGCACCCCTTCGTGGTGGCAGCCGAGCTCATTTACTTCCTCTTCCTCTTCTACTACATGGTGGTGCAGGTGAGGGGAATGAGGGCTCAGTGGGCAGAGGTAAGTGGGCTTATCCTTTTGCCTTCCATCCTCTCCAGCTGGGGCCTAAGGCAGGAGGGAAAGGTTTTTCCCCTCCCAAGTGCTTACCTGGTTGACCCTCTGTGTTCTCTGAACTTAGCACATGGGCTTCTGAGCATCTTCTGTCCTCACATGTGAGCCTAGTACCCTTAGCCACCTTCGCTGCCATGTCACACACACTAAGGTAGATGAGGGGTCCCCTTCCCCCCAAAATGTAAACAGGATATCTAAACAGGACCTCTAGGATATCTTGCCTACCACTTTCTGCACCAACAGCATATTAATTTATTGAGATTTTTTTCCCCTTGTGTTTGTTCGTTCATTCTGTACTTGGAGACAGGGTCTCACTAGGCGTATCCTGGAACTTACTGTGTATCCTGTAGGCTGCAATCTTCTTGTCTCAGTCTCCTGGGGTTACAGGTGTGAGGCACTGTGCCCGGCCTAACAACTTCTATAAAGTCAGGATAGGCTTGTGAGATGGCTCAGTGGGTAAGGACGCTTGCTTGAGCCTGGTAACCTGGGTTTCACATGGTAGAAGAGAGCCCACTCCCCCAAATTGTCATCTGACTTCCACACATGCATGGAGTCATCTCTCTCTCTCTCTCTCTCTCTCTCTCTCTCATGCACGAGCACACACACACACACACACACACACACACACACACACCATAAATAGATAAATAAAACCAGGATGGTATGTTTGGTGGTTGCCCAGAAAGCACGCACTATGCTAAGGATGTTATGTGCTTTCTTAACAAGAGAAAGGTCAAGAAAGGTCCTCTTGACTCTGACATTCAGAGGAGGACACAAAAGCCCAGAGACCTTATTCATCAAGGTCAGCTGGATCCAAGGCTACCTGCGTCCCAGTGAGCTACACTCTCAGCCCCCAAGTTCAGAATCTGAACCCAGAGTCTGTCGCCTGACATTCACCCTAATCTCCCATGAGGCAACATGAGCCTCTTAAAGCAGGGTGCCCAACTGGATAGGACACATACCTGTAATCCCAGAATTTAGGAAGCAGAGGCAGAAGGATTGTCCGTGAAAGGGCAGCCTGGGCCACAGAGTGAGTCCAGTGCCTGGCTGGGCAACTTAGGAAGACCCCATCTCAAGATTAAAAAGTAAAAGGCAGCTAAGGATATAACTCGGTGGCGGACTGCTTGCCTAGGACCCTTAGGAGCCCAGGCTCAATCCCCATGAACACACACGCACCGGCACACATTCTTAGTTATTGTCACAATAACTAATTCTGTTAATTCTGAGTTACAGCCACAACTCCAGTAGCTGGAGTTAGGGGTGGGAACAGGCTGAGGAGAGATCTCCAGGAGATCATATGTATGTGGGACCAGGGGAACATCATTCTAGAGACCTTTGGCATGTAGGGGCAGACATGGTGTGGCCTTAAACAGAACCTCTGGACCCTTTTCCAGGGCAAGCTCATGAAGAAGCAGAAGTGGGGTTACTTTCGAAGCAAGTGGAATCTTCTGGAATTGGCCATCATCCTGGCCAGCTGGAGCGCCCTGGCAGTATTTGTGAAGAGGGCTATCCTGGCAGATCGGGACCTCCAGCGCTACCGGAAGCACAGGGGCGAGTATGTAGCAGCTTCTCTGCTTCCCTGGCCCTCCCCTGCCTCTCCTTTTATAGCTCCATCAGGAGGCTGTGATACCCTGCTAGCCCCGAGTAGATGGAGGGCAGCCCTCGTGGACATAGCTTCAGCTACCCTTAGACTCACACTCTGGGCCTGGAGCTTAGGAAATTGGAGAGGATTTTTCATTTCTTATTTTTAAGCTAGCATGTATTAATTGCTACAAATTATAAATTTGTGTTACAAATTCATTACAGTGGGTTTCATTATGGCATTTTCATACATTCATCTAATATACTTTGATTATAGTCACACACACACACACACACACACACACACACACACACACACACACACCCATTACCCTTTCTTGCTGTTCCACTTCCAGGTAGAAGGGACTCTACTACAAAACACAGTAACAGGGATGGAAGATGATTCAGTGGTTAAGACCATTTGGTGCTCATGCAGATGATGTGAACTCCTGGTCTTCCTGCTTCCATCTCCCTGGTACTGGGATTACAGACATGTGTCTCTAAGGCCTGCTACAAATAAAGTTTTATTACAATATGGGCACGCCCGTTTGCTTGCATACCGCCTATGGCTGCTTTTCTGCTACAATGGCACTGTTGAGTCACTGAGACCGAAACCAGCTGGCCCATGTAGCCCCAAGGATGGACTCTCTGACCCTTCCAGAAAAGCTGAGTGCCTGGAGAACAAAGGTTGGGTTCTCAGCGGAACAATGCTGAGTTTGTAGCAGGTCGTCCATGACATCATGGTCCACTGTGTTTCAACACACACATTCCTTCCTCACGTCACCTCATACTTTACTCTTGACATCCACACAGACCAGATTATTATTTTCTTAGGTCTTGAACAGTAGATGCCAGAACACATTAAAAAACAAAAACAAAAAAACATGAAAACAAATCTGTCGGTTTGCAGAAACCTCAGTAGAGTCTGAGTTCACTTTTGTTTATTTTTTAAAAGACTTTAAAAAAAAGACTTTTTCATGTCTGTTCAGGTACATACAGAAGCCAGAAGAGGGCATTAGATTCCCCAGAGTGAGAGTTACAGGAGCTTATGAGCTGAACAATGTGGGTGCTGGGAAGCAAACTCAGGACCTTCAGAAAAGTACTAAGCACTCTATTTTTTCTCCCCTTTTTTTCATGAGATAGCCCTGTGCAGCCCTGGCTGTCCTGGACTCGCTTTGTAGACCAAGCTGGCCTCAAACTCAGAGATCCGCCTGCCTCTGCTCTTCCCTGAGTGCTGAGCTCACAGGCATGCACCTCCTAGCCTGGCTTCCCTAAGCACTCTGAACTGCTTCTCCGGCCCTTGTTTTGTCTGTTGTTTGTGGTGCTGCTGAGGCTCAAACCCTTAAACCTAGGTTTCACTCGTCCTAGGTGATTGCTCTACTAATGAGCCTTGAGCCCAGCAGACCTAAGAGCAGTTAACCCTCAGTTTGAAGATTCATTTGAAACTCTTAGTTGAATTTGATAATTCTATAAATAACCAAAGATTTTTAGTTTTTGTTTTCTGATGCTAGGGCTTAAACCCTGGCCCTCACACATGCTAGGCAAACAGTTTACCAGTGAATCACCCAAAAATCTTGAATCGGGTCTCACTGACTCTCACAGGCTGACTTTGAACTTACTCTGCAGCCTATACAGGTCCTGAACTGCTGATCCCCCTGCCTCAGCTCCTCAGATAGCTGGGGTTCCAGGTCTATGCTGCCAGTCATTTTAGGTAGAGTCTTGTGGGTTTTTTTAAAATCTTCTTCAGAAATGTATAAAAACTGTAAGAACCTTTTAGCTAGATAAGCTTTTTATTCCCTACATTGACAGTCTAATTCATTCCTCCTCCCCCCCTCTTACCGTCCCCCTGTCTTTCTCTCTTTCCCTTCCTTTTGTTCTGCATCAAACCTAGGATCTTGGGGTTGGGAATTTAACTCAGTGGTAGAGCACTTGCCTAGCAAATGCAAGGCCCTAGGTTTGGTCCTCAGCTCTGGAAAAGAAAAAAAACAAAACAAAACAATACTAGAGTCACGCTGCATGCCAAGTATGTACCCTACTACCCTACTACATGCTAAGTATATACCCTAGCCCCAGTCCTTAATTTTAATAAAATACTTTTATTTATTTAAAAAATATTTTTATTTGTATGGGTCTTTTACTTGAATGTATGTCTGTGTACCACATGTGTGCCTGGTAGTGCTCAAGGAGGCCAAAAGACAGTGTTGAATTCCCTGGAAGTGGAGTTATAGAGTTATGAGCCACCATGAGGGTACTGGGAATTGAACCTGGGTCCTGTGGAAGAGCAGCTAGTGCTATTAACCTCAGAGCTACCTCTCTAACCCTTTAACAAAATGCCTTTTAAGACTAAGTGATTTGTTTCATGGTCTCTGCCACCAAGTGGTCCTCAGCCCTGGCTCCCTGTAGGATTCTTTAAGAAAGGGAGCCAGCCCTGTGGTCCAGGCTGCCACCGGGACTTGCTCATGATGTCCAGAGATGGCACTCCAGCAGCAGTATTTTATTATTCCTCTGTCTTAATTCTAGTATGTAGCCAAAGTTGAGAGGCATACTGTGATTAGCTCTAATTGCTTTCTCAGAGAAGGGCCCAGAAATTGTTATTGTTTCCACATATTGAGCAATCCAAAGACGTAAGAAGGAATAGGGTGTTTTATTTTGATAATTGTATTTATTTATTTTATATGTGTGGGTGGGGACTATGCATGTGGACATCAAAGGACAACCTGAGGGAGCCAGCTTTCTCCTTCCATTGTGTAGGTCGCCAACATCAAACTCAGGTCAACAGCTTTGCCGGTGAGCACATTTACCTACTAAGCCATCTTGCTAGCTCAGGGGTGGGAGTAGAAAATGCTCAGAGGAGGAAGCAGCCATCCATACCAGCAGCTCCAGTTTGCTCAGAGAGGAGCAAAGTTCTGGAAGGCTGGAGACTTTTTGTAATAGGATGCATCTCACTCAGGTCTGGCTAGGACCTAAAGGGACAAAGCTATTCTGTGCCTACTGCTCCCTACAAAGGGCTGCCCTGGTGGGTCCCTGAAGCCCAGGTAGGCTAAGGAGAAAAATTCTTACTGTTCCCTCAAGGACCTGGCAGAAGCAAGCTCTGGGCCCAATCAGTAAGGCTGCTCTTGTAAAATGGATGTGACCTTTTCAGTAAATGAGAAATGTGGTACGTCTGTATAAAACTAAAAAATACCAATTAGAGAAAGAGGTTTAAAAAGCTGTGAACCTGGGTGATTGCTGGTGCTTGTGTAAGCAGAAATCCTAGTTAAACCCATTGGCTCACCAAAACAAAACCCAAAAGGACAAGAAAGGATGGGGAGGACTGCTTAGGAACGGGATCAGCAGGAGTAGGGGTAAGGGGGTAAGAGAGGTTAATGGAGGCGAGTCAAATACATTAGGATCAGAACACATCATATACATGTACAGAACTAGCTTGGTGAAACCCATTCCCTAGAAGTGGATGGAAAAGCCAAACCTCAAAGCTGGCTTGGTTGGAGTGCTACACACTGGAAATCCTAATGCCTGGGAGACAGAGGCAGGAGCCTCAAAAACTTAAGGTCATCCGCAGCAGCACAGTGAGTCTGAGGCCACCCTGGGCAAGATGAGAGCCTATTTCAAAACAATAAAATGTCACCCTAGTATTAAAACTGAATTTGGAATACAGTGGCACAAATGGAGAATGAAGAGCTTTGAAATCAGACACACCTGGATTCCAACTCATTCCTCCCCTCAGAAGTTGTGTCATCATGTACATTGAAAACCGAGTGATCTTGGGCCAACTCTCCATCCCTATCGGTGAAACGGAGATTGCAAGATCTGCTTCATCTTGACGTTCAGTGACACAGAGCAGATTAGATTCTCCCTTAGCGCAACAGATAGGTGACACCTCCATGCTTCTTTCAATATGAGGGCAGCTGGGGATGCCCACTCACATAAGTATGCAGGAGGGAATGGCATTTAGTGACCCCAAAGCAGGAAGATCAAGGTTCATACAAGACTCTTCTCTCTATCCTCCCACCCCCCACCCCCAATGTATTCCTCTTTTGCCATACTTTATAGCTCTGCAGCCACTGATCAAGACTATTGATTAAAGGCCCTGAGAATAAGCCACTGACTCTTCAAGACCACATTATTCTCGTCACCATAATCAGCATTTTCATCATCATCATCACCATCACCATCATCACACCATCAGCATTCTCACCGTTATGTTCACCATCATCACCATTACCAACATCAGCATTCTCGTAATCATTATCTTCATCACCATCTTCACCATCGTCACCATCATCACCTCCATCAGCATTCTTTCTCATCATCATCGTTAT